CTGCGCGCAGATCTCGCCCTGCGCCGCGCTGAGCCACGGGGGCCCGGCCACGCTCTGCGACGCCCCGCTGTCCACGATCACCCCGCCGCGACATTCCCTGAAGGGGCCCTGGGACACACAAATAAATACAAACAAATAACAAGATTCCCCACATTTTGCGAATAGGTTGTGGGTTTCTGTCTTCACCCCCACTTCCCATATTGTCCCATATTTTCTAAGGAATCGACGATTCATTGCGTCTGTGCTTGTTTTTTCTCCCTCCTGCTTCCCGAGCGTCAAAGAAGCTGAACGCCACGACGACGCGAAGGTCTCTTCCCAGCGCATTCATCTCCATCACGAACCCAATGAAACCCGAAAAGCTCGGCCTGCCAGATCCCGTCAGGTCCGGGGAGTCCACGGTGAGGCGGTCCGGCTCGCCGAATCTCAAGGACTTCTTCCGATCGGAGCCTGACCCGACGATCCGCCCGGGCGCTGGCATCCGCGGCCGCGGTCAGGCAGCCTGGGCTGGCAAACCCCTTGGTAGCTGTCATTCCCCATCACACCACCTGGCCCGACAGGTCGCTGTGAGCCTCGATCTCGCTGAAATCCACCAGTGGGGGTCGAGGTACTCGTTGCTGCCCTCGCTGTTCGTCGCCTTGCCGAGGTGGTGGTCGTGTTCCTGAATTGTGCAGCGGCGGTCAAGTCGGGTAGTACTGTCAATTCGTCGTGCTCTGCATCTGTAGGTTGCGAGCCTCCTTACACGTCCTCTGGGTCTGCCTTATCATCATGATGGCTTCCTGCCGCGGGTCGGTCTTGCATGACTCCTGGTTGGTCTCGTCCGGGTTCGCCTCGTTCTCGCATGCACAGGAGCCGTCGGCGGCCCTCGTCCTGGCGATCCATGCCCTGCTCGGACATGTCGTCATTCTCGAAATCGAAACCGTCCACCGTGCGAGTCTCCGACCAGATTCCATCTTGACGTCGTAGTTCGTCCTCGGGCCCGTTCCCGATCAGAGCCTCCAAGATGTTGTCACTTGTGTACTTATGGCCGCTCGCCGAGAGAACTCCGGCTCGCTCGGTCGGGTCCAAGCCACTGTTGTTGACAATAAATTCCCTTAGCCGCTCGGCATCAAGACACTCATGTTCATTCTCTTCGTCTGTATTTGCAATTCACTTGAAAGCCCGTCGCAGCTTGTGATACAGTTTGTGCTCTCGATTGCCGAAGGCGACCATGCTCTCGCCCTTTTTGTGCGTGCGCTGGTAGATGTACTGCACGAGCACTTTCATTAGGTCAATGGGCGCATGGTTCCCGAGTTTCTCCTTGAGGTACTGTACGAGCTGTTGTGTACCGTCCTCCTTGCCCAGAACCGTCGCATTGAACGCCAGGGCTTCTCTTTCGGGCGGAACCATCGACCATCACGCCTATGAGGTGTGCGCCACGCAGCTGCCTCTCGTCCTTCTTCGCTCCGGACACGTAGATCCGAACATTCTCGATGTAGTCATCGTTGGACTCTAGCCTCCCGCTCCAGCGCGGTATGACGCCGCGCTCGTCTTGTTGGGTCATCGATCCAAGGCCGTACTCGAACCACGTCCGTGACAATATCCGCTGTACCACTATAGTAGTATCGGGGATACTGTCGGTGTTATCGTCGTAGACGTTTCTTCTGATCGCCGATGCCTTTGTTCCAGCGTTCAGTGCGACGATGAAACTGAATAAATATAAGAACATGAAATAAGGACGGGCGCCTGACGCGCCGCGTCCTGCATAGGAAAAGGACGACACACCGTCGACTCAAGAGCTGGCTCTTGAAACTGAGCCGAAACGCAAGCAAAACCCCCACTCATGCACAATCCCGTGCACACTGCCTTCTGCTCCCCCATCGCTGGTGCTGAGATGTACTCGCGGCCTCCATGCAACAACTCCTCCCTCCTCCCTCCGCCCTCCTCCCTCCTCCTCCTCCTCCTCCTCCTCCTCATCCTCCTCCTCATCCTCCTCTTATCCTTGTTATGATTCGCGTGTATTTTACGATTACAACTATTATTATACGTTGTAGTATCCGTCTTGCTCTTCATATCATGCTTCTTAATTGTTGGATTACGCTTATGTTTCATCTTAGTAGTATGCGTAACATTTGTATTATGAGTAATATTGGTGATAACATTCGTAGTATTAATAGTCGTGTGTTTCTTGTTATGAAAAACTACTCTTAGTATTAAACTTACACTTAGTAGCAATGATATTATTATCCTGATCATTAGTAGCTGTATGTTTACTGCTCTTTATCATTGTCATGTCCATCTTCATCTTCTTACTACTGTTGTTAATATAAGTATTACAAGAAATGTTATTATGTGTCTGACTCTCATTAGTAGTCCTCCTCCTGCACCTCCTCCTCCTGATCCTAATCCTCCTCCTCCTCGTCCTTTTCCTGTTCCTGCTCCTGCTCCTGCCCCTGCTCCTGCTCCTTCTCCTCCTCCTCCTCCTCCTCCTCCTCCTCCTCCTCCTCCTCATCCTCCTCCTCCTTTTTCCTCGCGGGAATCGGCCTTCGTGGCTCCGAAACCAGGGTCAACCAGAGGCGCTTGGCTGACCCACGTTAGCGCTGATAGACTTGACGTGAGCCCCGATCGTATACAGCGGGTTCTCGTCGCCCCGACTTCAGAGTTGGCTTCTGACACCTGGGGCCTCGTTCAACCTTGAACGATCGGCCATTCCCGAAACGTCAGATTGTTCAACACGGACCGATTCTGGGTCGCCTGCGGCGCTCAACGTTGAACGAAGGCGGTGTCGCCGCCGGTCGACACGACGCGAACCTACCGTACGTGAGCACCGAGCGTAGATATACAGCTCTGGCGGCACCGGGGCGGTCGTCCTCCCCGTGGATGTGAAGCTGCGTGGAGGCGGGCAGGCAGCACGTGAGGCGTGAGTGGAGGCGCCTCTTGGAATGCAGCCCGGCGCTGGGCCTCGGCAGCACCTGCAGCGCAGACGTCCAAGAACCTGCGTGATTCCGCCAGCCACCGCCAAGCGTTGAGCTCGTCTGCGTACATACGGAACCTCCTCAAACCAGCCTGGCTAGCAAAGCAAGAGTCAGAGAAGAGACGGGTCCACAAAGGTGGATCCCACACGGTGCCCTGGTGGGCCATATCTGCGATAGTGGGCTGGGACTCTTTTGTCGAGGAGGTGACGGGCCGATAGGTCAACACGTTGGACGGCTTCAGGACGGCCTTCCAACACACGCCTTTCACCAACGAGGGAGACGCCGACGTCCTGCTCGAGCTCTTCGAGAACACACTCGACAAGCAGAGCAAGCACTGAGCAAGCTTGCCGCGTAGCACCGCATAAGGGGCTTCTTGCTTACCGTCAGAGGGCGATAATGGAGCTCCCGAGGGGCGCTTGGGGGTCTCTTGGCGTGGTCGCAAATCAAGATCAGCCCAGCCGTCTTACTGTCAAGGGTCTCCGCGGAGGAGTTGAAGCTGGAGAGCGAGAAGCATAAAAGCCCACAGGACCGCACGCATTTCTCGGGTCAGTGCTAGAACACTTCCAAAGCGTGCGGAGCGCACCAGGCGCCAGAGGCGCTGCCTGCGCCGACCCGAGAAACCCGTGCGGACCTCCGAAAGGTGATGATTAGGAAGTTTCTGGCATTCGGAAAGCATATGGGGGCCGTCTCAATCCCAATCGGCCTTGATCTTGCTGCCTGGCCATGCCAGCACACGCCCTGGATGGAGAGAGCTGCCGGGCGGATCCAGCCAAGGAGGCGGAACTGGAGCTGGAGAGGGAGAAGAAGGCCATCTCGCTTGCTGTTCAATGCAATGTCTTAGGGGAGAGAACAGAGACAGAGGGAAGGAGACGATCGTGCCATCTCACCGGTTGGGAAGAAACACCAACTCCATTAGGCCACGCTCCAGTCATCCCACCCTTGCTTGAAAGCGGCAGCCACAGAGGCACGAGAGGAGAAGCGTGACGATGAGGAGGAGGGAAGAGGGGGGGAGGGAAAAACAAGAGGAAGAGGCCGTATCAATCCGCCCGCACACCACCAGAAACCGAAAGGAGCGCTGCCCAGCCGATCCGGCCACGGTGACGAGCGCGGCAACTGACCGCGGTCAGGAGCCTCTTCCCCCGAGGTCTGTGGGGGGCTCCTGGGACCTGGGCGGCCTCCAGGGCCAGGTCCGGAGGTGCGCAGGGGCCTCTGCAGGTCCCCGCCGCAGGCCTCCACGCAGGCCTCCCACGGAGGCCTCCTGAGCCCGAAAGCCAGGGCGCTTCTGCGAGCCTCCAGGACCCCAGAGAGGTGGGCCCTGGGGCCTCCCGAGGCCTCTGGTGGCGAACGGTCTTGTCTAGGGAGCCGCTGGAAGAGCGAGGAAAAGCGGCTGTGCATGTACACCTTCTGCGGTCCCGCGTGCACGAGTGACCGCGCTCAAGCGCATGCCAGCGGAAGCCTGACCGCGTGCGTGTGCCTACGTTGCTGGCCTCTGGTTGGAACACTGGAAACCTGTGGAGGCATCTCCTCCGGCTTCCTGGGGAACAAACGAATCATCCTCGATCAGCCCTCCTCCTCCTCCTCCTCGATCCCCCCTTCGGCGTCTCTGAGCGACGGAGCTCGAACCTTTAATGATGGTAACGGAAATGAAAGAGAGAGAGGGAGAGAGAGAGAGAGAGAGAAACCTCAGAATCGAGTAAGCAAGTGAACGAACACAACCATGATTATAAACAAACTTGATCGAGCGAATGTAATGTGGGCGGCAGCTGTGTTGGGGCATGTGGGTCGATTAGCATGCTGTCGGCAGTCCACAATGGGATTTTGCATGTGACAGTCACTTACCTCGATCCTCCTCCTCCTCCTCCTCCTCCTCCTCCTCCTCCTCCTCCTCCTCCTCCTCCTCCTCCTCCTCGAACGACCTTCCTCCTCGATCGACCATCCTCCTCCTCGATCCACCCTCTTCCTGGATCGACCCACAGCACTCCCCCTCCTCCTCAATCGACCCCCTTCGCCCCGCGACGTGCGGGGCCCCGGCCCCGCGGAGGGGCCGGCCAGTTTGCGGCTGCTCTTCACGCGCACGCCGAGGTGCCATTCTCTGAGGAACCCGGGCGGCTTGAGGGCCCACCTGGCGGGGGCAGCCGTCGAGCCGTCGGCAAGCGCACGCACAGCACTCGGCACGGCAAGAAGAGGCGGGGAGGGCCCAAACGAGGCCTCGCCATGCCAGGCTGTCGAGAAGTCCAGGGGCCTCAGGAACATAAAAAACTGCGCTTTTGAAGCCCGATCCGGCTTCAGGAGCATAGTACGTGTCAGACAGACGCCAGGTAGACCCGGAACGCCACACAAGCCAACCTGTAGTAGGCAAGCTCGTGTAGAGAACCTTGGCCAGGGAGCGAAAAGCGGAGCAGACACTTCTTGGTCCACGGACGCCAAGATGCGCGAGGCGGTCAGGCGCCGGTCAAAGCGAGCGGTGGGCTGCACCGTAACCTAACACAGACACGGAGCGAAAGAGCAAGAGACGAGAGCGGAGACAAGACGGGGCCCGATCAGGCCGTCAAGGTCGGCCGAGGAGTGCCGGGAGGGCGTGCAGCTGCTTAAGAGCAGCAACCACCTGCTCCGGAGGGCCTGTGGGGGGAGGGAAGCCTCCCTGGAACAACTCCAGAGGCGAGGGCGGAGAGGACTGCGGCGGTGGTGCGGAGGAAGACTCGATGCCAGCGGCGAGAGCAACGGGTAGCGACCTCACGGGAGCGCCCCGCGGGGCGCCGGGCCACATCAACACTGTCTGAACACGTTGGTCAGGTCTGGGCCTGCTGGGGCCTGCAGAGACCTCCAGGGAGGTCAGAAGCTTCCTGGAAGACCCCTCTGGGGACTTCCTCGCCCACCTTCGTAGTCACCTAGGCAGTCTTAAAAGCTTTGAAATTTCTGATGCGTCTCTGCGTTCACACGACTAGGGGCCCGCTCCCATCGCCAGCAGCCCTCCGCCCAAGAAGTCCCAGGAATCCATGTTAGGCTGATATTGAAACCATATGGAGACATCTTAGACGTTTATCGGTTTCTCTGAGGCCGCCTTGGAATCTATTTCGACCGGTTGACGAGTTCGAAGCAATAGACATGTTCCACAACCTGGGTTGCTTCAGTGTTTGAACAAATTTGATCACCTCAGAAAACGCCTGGGGTGGGAAAAAGAAGGATAAACCACGGCGCCGCTTTGTTTGGATACAGGGCGACACGCGACGGCACCGCAAGCCCACAAGCGCACCAAATGCAGAAGCCGCACACACCATGTGCACCGCGCATGCAGTGCACTCAATCTTTGGGGCATGAGAAACTTGTTGGGGTTCTTCCAACAACTTTGGAACCGCGTTGGAGCATCGTGGACGCATGTTGGACAGGCCGCGTCGGGCCGTTGTGGAAACGTCTGGGGGTCGTTTAGGGTTATTCCAACCCGCTGGGGTGTTTTATTGCCCGTTGTGAGGTCCTCTTAGGCCACCGGGGGCCGTTCTGGGCCTTCTTGGCGGTCGGTGTGGCGGCTTTGGGACCGTCCTGGGCCCATCTTGGGCAGTATCCGGCATTTTCGCATTTTGGTGAGCCCTTATAGAACTTTCCCTGGGTTCTTTTGAAACTCCCTTGGGGCATGTTTGGGGCATCTTGGGCCCAGTTGGGGCCCATGTCGGGCCGGCTTGAACTCTCCCTGGGGCCCTCTAGAACACGTTTTCTGCCAGCTTGAGGTCCCTTCGGGGAGCCATTAGATCGTCTTGGGCGCCATGAGAACCTGGGCCCAGCACAGAAACGGAAAGAGCGCCTCAGATACAGAAACCGAAATTACTCACACCACCGTTCGTACTGGGAGCCTTGGCGTTGAAAGCTTGTTACGTCACCCCGCGTTTTTGGGAGCCTTGGTGTTCAGAGATTGTTGCTTTGCCGCCCGTTCCTGAGCCTTGGCTGGGCCTTGCTGTCAGGAACATGTTACGTCACCGCTCCCTGCTGGGAGCCTTGGTCTGATCAGCTTGTTTACGTCACCGTTCGCTCTGGGGAGCCTTGGTGTGAAGAGTTTTTTGCGTTAACGATCGTTCTTTTTTGGGCTTCTCTGAGCCTTCTTGGGAGTCTTATTGCGACCCTTTTCGAGCCCCTTTGGGAGCCTCTTGGGGGCCTCTTGGGGGCCTCTTGGGGCTTCTTGGGGTGCTCTTGGGGCCTCCTGGGAGCTCCTTGGGGCGAAAGGCTAGACTTTTCGGTTCGTGGTCTCCCTCTTGGGGCCGTCTTGGGGCCCTCTTGGGCCGTCTTGGGCGCCTCTTGGGTCGTCTTGGGGCCCTCTCTTGGGTCGTTTTGGGGGCCTCTTGGGAGCCTCTTGGGCCGTCTGGGGGCGGTCTTTGGGGCCTCTTGGACCGTCTTCAACGCCGTGAACGCCGAAAAGCCGTGCATGGTAAAAGTGTACCGTTCCCCATGGTAAATTAATAATTTTGGCCTCCTGGTGGCCTCCTGGGACGCCTCTTGGGGGCCTCTTGGGGCTTCTTGGGGGGCTCTTGGGGACTCCTGGGAGCGTCTTGGGGCGAAAGGCTAGACTTTTCGGTTCGTAGTCCCCCTCTTGGGGCCGTCTTGGGGCCCTCTGGGGCCGTCCTGGGCGCCTCTTGGGCCGTCTTGGGGGGCCCTGTTGGGCCGTTTTGGTAGCCTCTTGGGAGCCTCTTGGGCCGTCTTGGGGCGGTCTTGGGGGCCTCTTGGGCCGTCGCCAACGCCGTGAAAGTCGAAACGCCGTATATGCTAAATAAAATGCACGTTTTCCTGAGGAAAATCAATGGTGTTGGCCCCTTGGGGCCCTCTTGGGACGCCCCTTGGGCGCCTCTTGGGGGCCTCTTGGAAGCTTTTTGGGCCGTCTTGGGCTGTCTTGGGCGGTCGTGGTCTCTTCTGGGACGGAAAAAGGGAGAAACCCGGAAAACATACAGAAGCCCGAAGGAAAACAGCCAAAAACAGCCACTAGACCACTGCACTCCCCCTTCCCCCCCCCCTGCTGGAACCCCCCCCCTTAAGGACTTCGCCCACACCAGAACGTCATGACTCGCATCTCGCTCTTTCCGTTAACCAGAAAAAAAATGCGAAAATCCGTCGAAAACCAAAACATGTTCGCCTCCCTGGGGCCCCTTCACGATCCTGTCAGACGCCCTGGGCCCGTGTGGGAGGCCTCAGGGTCGTCTTGAACTGGGCCTTGTTCGGCACCTTTTGTCGTTCTGTCGCCCCAGTTTCGGGTGTCCTGGCTTCCCCGAGGACCCCCGAAAGCTGTCTTGTGCTGCCTGGGGGAAGCCTCACAGGACATGGAGGCTGAGCAGGCCCACGGTATCCTAGCACACTACACGCATATACACTCGTCATATCAAAATGTATACTAGAACCACGCTTCGCGCGCTTCGCGCGCTTCGCGCACGCGCCTAGGTTCTAGCGCAACACGGGGCATCTAGGAAGCCCTGAGGGCCTCTCGGGGCCATCTGGAGGCCATGTTGGGCCTCGCGGCCTCGAGGGCCGTCTTGAAGCCATATTGGGCCGTCTCGGTGTTCTCTTGAGGAGCCCTGGGGCTCCCCGTCGACCGCCTTGGGGCTACCTCGGGCGCCTCTGAGGCGCTCTTGGCCCGCCTGACGCGTTCGAAACCCGTCTCTGGGACAGTATTCGGAGACTCTGGAGCGCTCTTGGGGCCGTATTGTGGCCTTGTGGGGCTGATCTTGAGGCACGCATGGACACATAACACCGTCCAGGAGCCTCAGAAGGCCATCGGAAGCGAAAAAGCGGCACCTTGAAAACCTCATGTTTTGCTTCGGTGCTTCGCTGATGTTGGCCACTTGAGGCCCTCTCAAGCCTCTTGGAGCCAGAAGATGTGAACGAACCAACGGAACATCAACAGAGTCCCACCAGCCCTTCAGGGCTTAGGTGGTCTAGAGAGCGTTCTCTTTCAACCCCCTTTCTTCCCCTTCGGGGAGGGGTCCATCACTGTTCCTCACTAAAAAGCACAAACTGCCCCCCCAGGCTGGCGGCCAACCCGGAACCATGCCGACCCCATGCGGCCCGCCCCCCACCATCCCTGTCAAAAAAACAATACAAACGACACTCTGCCTCCACATATGGAGCATGCGCGGCCAACCCGATGCGGACCCCACACCGTCCCTGTTTAAAACATACAAAGTACACTTTGGGGCAAAGTCTTGAGTCATGTTCGTGAGGACCGCAAGCATTTTGTATTGCTTTTCCCCACATCCAAAGTGGGGTTCTTGTTTTCTCTGGACACCCCGCGCAGGAACCTCCTCACCTCACCCCCTCTCCTCTTCTGTCTTCGCGCGCTCACTCATTCACTCATTAGCTCATTAGCTCACTCACTCACTCACTCACTCACTCACTCACTCACTCACTCAGTCACTCAGTCACTCCCTCACTCATTCACTGACTCATCAGCACGCACTCACTCACTCACTCACACTCTCATGAATCCCACCAGCCCTTTGGGCGTGAGTGGTTTAGAGAGCCCGCTCTGTCCTCAACCCTCCTTCTTCCCCTTCGGGGAGGGGTTTACCCCTCCCCCTACCCCCTCCCCCTGGGCCTGGAGAGGGCGGGCCGAGTGCAATCAAGGGGGTCTGTTTCGACTCCTGGGAGGGCCAAAAAACCACGACCCTCACGAGGATTCTGGCCCCCAGGGGGGGGGGGGACCGTTTGGCGCCTCAGACCGTCTTTGAAGCAAAAAACATTGATTTTACTACGGTTTGGGGCCCACTTTGGCCTTCTGAAGGGGGCCGCGCTCATCTTCCCTCATAGCAAAATCACTGAGTTTACAAAGGTTTTGGGCTCATTTTGTCCTTCTCAGGGGGCAGCTCTCCTTTGCGCTTCTGCGGAGGTCGCAAGAGGCCCCAAGATGGCCCCAAGAGGCCCCCAGGAGGCTCCCAAGAGGCTTCCAAGAGGCCCCCCAGAGGCCCGCAAGCGGCCCCAAGAGGCCCCCAAGAGGCCCCCAAGAGCCCCCACGAGGTCCCAAGAGGCCCCCAGGAGGCCCCCAAGAGGCCCCCAAGAGGCCCCGCGAGGCCCCAAGAGGCCCCCAAGAGGCCCCCAAGAGGCCCCCAAGAGGCCCCCAAGAGGCCCCACGAGGCTCCAAGAGGCCCCCAA